CTCTCTCTCTGTAACTCAAATAAATAAAATAAATCTTTAAAAAAAAAAAAAAGTTATAGCAATGTTCTTCCGGCAGCATCTTCCACCTTAAGGCTGTAAGTTTATTTATTCAACATTTCTTAAGATGTTTCATATACAACTTCCTTATGGGCAAGAGAAAAGAGATTTCTTCAAAATGTTTTGACAGACCATCCTACATCAAAACTATGTTAATTTACATGTTCCTAAATAGTCATCAATATTAAGCTTTCATGCCTGAAAGACACTAAGAAAATGAAAGGCTAAGGTACAATAGAAAGCAAATATTCACAAAACAGATATTCAATGCAGGACTTAAATCCAGCATAAACTGCTAGTATTCAGCAAGATCAAATGCAAAAAAAATGGGCAAAATCTGTGCATAGACATTTCACTGATGAAGACATATAAATGGCAAACACATGAGAAGATGTTCAGCATCATCACATATGTCCACATCAAGCAAACATTCATGGCACTCTCAATTTCAACAGTCCCAAACTGTACAGAACCCAAAAACCAACCAACTAGGAAATGGATAAGCAAACTGTGGCTTATCCACACTGGGGACTACCACTCTGCAATAAACAGAAACAAATCACTGACAACAGCACGTATGAATCTTCAAGTGCTTTCATTGTGCTAAGTCAAAGAGGCCGACCTGGGCCGGCGCCGTGGCATACTAGGTTAATCCTCCGCCTGCGGCACTGGCATCCCATATGGGCGCCGAGTTCTAGTCCCGGTTGCTCCTCTTCCACTCCAGCTCTCTGCTGTGGCCCAAGAGGGTAGTGGAGGATGGCCCAAGTGCTTGGGCCCCTGCACCCGCATAGGAGACCAGGAGGAAGCACTTGGCTCCTGGCTTTGGATTGGCACAGCTCCAGCCGTTGTGACCATTTGAGGAGTGAACCAAAGGAAGGAAGACCTTTCTCTCTCTCTCACTGTCTGTAACTCTACCTGTCAAATAAATAAAAATCTTTAAAAAAAAAAAAAAAAAAAGAGGCCAATTGCATTAAGACTACAAATTATATCATTTCATTTATGTGCATCTAGAAAAGACAAAACTTAGAAAGCAGATCAGTGATTGTCATGAGAGGGTGAGGGAGGTTGTTTAAGTGCAAAAGGACATGAAAGAACTTCTTGGAATGGTAAAAATGTCCTGTTATTGGTGTTTGTGGTGGTGATTACACAACTATGTACATTTGTTAAATTTTAGTATTTTTTTGTTTGTTCAACTTAATACTTTTGGTTGAATACTGTAATCAATACACAATTCTTCTTAAGTGCTGAAACTTAACTGAAAAGTGTTTGCTGTTAAATATGAGTGGGAATAAGAGAGGGAAGAGATGTGCAATTCGGGACATGCTCAAGCTGACTTACCTCAAACGGTAGAGTTAGAAACATACCAGGGGATTCGAATTCAATCCCATCAAGGTGGCATGTACCAATGCCATCTCACTAGTCCCAGTGATCAATTTCTGTTCACAATTGATCGTAATGATAGGACTAAGAACCAAAGAGATCACATAAACAAGACTAGTGTCTGCAAATACTAGCTGACAGAATCAAAAAGGGAGAGAATGATCCAACATGGGAAGTGAGATACACAGCAGACCCATAGAATGGCAAATGTCCTAACAGCACTCTGGCCTCATAATCAGCCCTTAAGGCATGCGGATCCGGCTGAAATGCCCATGAGAGTATTTCAGGCATGGAAAGCCAAGACACTCTGGGGGAAAAAAAACCTAAATGAAAGATCTCCGTGAGTGAGATCCCAGTGGAAAGAATGGGTCATCAAAGAAGGAGGTACCTTTCTCTGAAGGGAGGAGAGAACTTCCACTTTGACCATGGCCTTGTCTAAAAATGATCAGAGTCAGTGAACTCAGGGGGCTTCCATAGCCTTGGCAGCTCATGACAAGAGCCTAGGGTGATTATTGATGCCATAAACAAGAGTGTCAATTTGTTAAGTCAACAACAGGAGTCACTGTGCACTTACTCCTCATGTAGGATCTTTGTCCTTAGTGTGCTGTACATTGAGATTTAATGCTATAACTAGTACTCAAACAGTATTTTTCACTTTATGTTTCTGTGTGGGAGCAAACTGTTGAAATCCTTACTTAATGTATGCTAAACTGATCTTCTGTATATAAAGAGAATCGAAAATGAATCTTGATGTGAATGGAAGGGGAGAGGGAGTGGATAAGGGGAGGGTTGTGGGTTGGAGGGACGTTATGGGGGGGAAGCCATTGTAATCAATATTCTGTACTTTGGAAATTTATATTCATTAAATAAAAGTTAAAAAAAAAACATACAGTGCTTGCATTCAAAGGGATTTACAAACTAAGAGAAAAACATAAACTTCAAAGAAACTGAATCTGTGACCACAGTATACAGCTAAAAAAAAAAAACTCAATTATTCAAATAAAAATACAGTCAAGGGGAGATTGAGAAAAGGCCTTTAGGAAGTATTTGTGTCCAAAACTGGAGTAATACTATACTTACCCTCTCTTACACTTAATGTGTATAGTTTTCTATATATTAAAAATTTTTTAAACCATTTTAAAATGGGTCTTTCTGCCTCTGATTTCATCTGCCTCAAACTATTTTTTCACAATATTTTTTTTTTTTTGACAGGCAGAGTGGACAGTGAGAGAGAGAGACACACACAGAGAGAAAGGTCTTCCTTTGCCGTTGGTTCACCCTCCAATGGCCGCTGCAGCTGGCGCACCGCGCTGATCCGATGGCAGGAGCCAGGTACTTATCCTGGTCTCCCATGGGGTGCAGGGCCCAAGTACTTAGGCAATCCTCCACTACACTCCCTGGCCACAGCAGAGAGCTGGCCTGAAAGAGGGGCAACCGGGACAGCATCCAGCGCCCCGACCGGGACTAGAACCTGGTGTGCCGGCGCCACTAGGCGGAGGATTAGCCTAGTGAGCCGTGGCGCCGGCCCACAATATTCTTCCATCCATTCATTCAACAAAACTGCCAGGCATGTTCTTGGCTATGAGGCACAACAACAACAAACAAAACATATAGACCTCTATGGTCATGGCACTTAACTGAGAAGACAAACGTCAAATAGTATTAAGAGCTAGAGAGAAACTAAAGCAGGGAAGGGAGACAGGGAATGTATTAGAGGTTGAAGGCTGCAATTTCATATATGGAAACCCCTTCTCTCCCTTCCTACCTACAATATTCTCACTTCCTACCTCAAGAACCTTGAAAGGCTCCTACTGCCAGATGCTCAGACAACAGGCCCAGAGACTCAATCAGGTCCAGGATAGGGGCAATGAATCTGTATTTTTTAAAAACAACTTGGTGATTACAAAGAGGGAACCTATAAACCATACTCTGAGAAACAGTGACCTAAAGCACAGGAGGCTAGCTTTCAGGGCTCTTCTACCACCTGGCTCCAACCTGCCTTCTGGATTATTTGTTACTTAAAATTAATTGCCAATTCTTACTTACAATTAGTTGCTCCATTCTCCATACTAACTGTTTTCTGCATGTGACTTGCTCACAGTTTTCACTGCATGGAGTGTTGTTCAACCCAGGCCCCACTTATTTAGAATCTACTCAGATTTCAAATGTGAAGTCCCTCTCCAACTTTTAACTAGCTAAAATAAATTTAAATGTCCATGGCATCATATTCCTATTTCTTGTGACACAGTACTTTTCTAAAAATTTGTACAATTATGTGACTTTCTTCCCTATTAGAGGAACTCTTGGATTATCTCAGTTATCTCTGCATCCCCAAAGAGACTAGAAAATCATGGCCCACAACAAGCAATCAAATCAAATGGATAAAATCACTCATTAAACACTCTTTTTCCTATGCTGCATTTCCTTTACCGACTAACTCCTCAGAGCTTTATCCTTTGCCAGTATCACTTTTTAACTTAACAACATATAACGGGAAATCGTAACACTCCACACTTCATGATATTTGAATTTGCGGCGAGAACATTAGTTCTGTAAGCAGGAGAAAAAAAGATTCTTTGAATTTGAAAATAACTTGGAAGTGTGGTAGCAGGAGTTGGGGAAGAAGCGTTGCCCTTTCTCAACAGTCCCCTGCCCCTTCATAAACTAATCCAATGAAACAGAACCACCACAAAGAAATCAAACATCACTCTGTCCACCAAGTCCCTGCACAGCATTCTAAAAATCATCTCCAGTTTTATTTCAGATCTTTCATGCAACATTCACATGCCATTACAACAAAGATAAAGATAGCACAACTGTCTTCATGAGGCAAACCTCTAGTAAATAGCTCCAATTGTCTTCCAATTAAAAGCTGAATAAAATGTATGAAGAATCTTCAAAAAGCTCATAGAAAATGTATATTATAAAAAATGCATATTATGAATTTCAGAAGTTTTTGAACCAAAATAAACTTTTTGAGTCCACTTTTCCACAAAAAATTTTAAGTAACTACATATACCTGGGACATTTTTAATAAGTGTTTACAAAGAAACAGTGTATACTGTCACTGTAACTCTTCTACACACCCCATCAATATTAATCTTTCATGTAATTAATTTTAAACATGTTAATTGGATACATAAAAATATAAAAGGATTACTGCATACCTGTGGATTTTCCAAACGCTTTAAATACTCTTCAAATGATCCTTCTATGAACTGGAAACAAATAAAAGTCTATTAGGAATGACATCTAAGAAATATGTCACAATAATAGTTAACCACTTCACCATGTAAACAATGTTAGCTTTGAATTACTGAGTTCTTACACATACCTAGGATATATCAGTACTATTAAAATATATACAATCCAATAAAAGGATATAGGAATCATTAATACCATAAACATATTGCAGAATTTAATTTAAAAAGAAAATTGTCAAGGCCTGTGCTGTGACGCAGCAGGTTAAAGCCCTGGCCTTTAGCACCAGCATCCCATATGGGCACCAGTTCTAGTCCTGGCTGCTCCTCTTCCAATCCAGCTCTCTGCTATGGCATGGGATAGCAGTAGAAGATGGTCCAAGTTCTTGGGCCCCTGCACCCACGTGGGAGACCCAAACTCCTGGCTCCTGGGTTCAGATCGGTGCAGCTCCGGCCGCTGCGGCCATCTGGGGAGTGAACCAACGGAAGGAAGACCTCTCTCTCTGTCCCTACCTCTCTCTGTAACTCTTTCAAATAAATAAAATAAATCTTTTAAAAAAAAAATTGTCAGGAAAGGTTTCTTGAAGAGGAATGACGGAAGATAAAGGACAGACAGGATACAGATGGGCACAGTAAGAGGATACTCCACAAAGATGGCCAATGTGGTGAGAAAAGGTAGTAAGAGTCCTGTTTTATGAAGACAGGAATGGCCTGGCCTGGCTGAAGTGGGACAAGTTGGTGAGGAGCTTGGTAAGGAACTGAGTGGGGAAAGAACCCAAATGGGGGCTGTTTATAGAGGGCCTTGAGCCCAGGCAGAACATTCAAGACTAGATGAGAAAAGTAATTCAAGGTCACCGCAGGAGACATACTGAACTGAGAAACCGCAAACAGTGCTTTAAGAATAATTTGGCAGTCGTCAGTGTATAAAGGAGTGAAGACATATACTGGGCTTAAGAGAGTAGAACTTAATAATATACACAGGTAGGGGCCGGCACTGTGGCACAGAGGGTTAAAGCCCCGGGCCGCAGTGCTGGCATCCCACATGGGCGTTAGTTCAAATCCCGGCTGCTCCACTTGCGACCCAGCTCCCTGCTATGGCCTGGGAAAGCAGTAGAAGAAGGCTCAAGTCCTTGGGCCCATGTACCCACATGGGAAACTCAGAAGCTGCTCCCAGCTCCTGGCTTCCAATCAGCTCAGCTCTGTCCATTGCAGCCATGTGCGGAGTAAACCAGCGGATAGAAGATCTCTCTCTCTCTGGCTCTACCTCTCTTTGTAACTCTTTCAAATAAATCAAATAAAACTTTAAAAATAATATGGGGCCGGAGCCACGGCTCACTTGGTTAATCCTCCGCCTGCGGTGCCAGCATCCCATATGGGCGCCGGGTTCTAATCCCGGTTGCTCCTCTTCCACTCCAGCTCTCTACTGTGGCCCGGAAAGGCAGTGGAGGATGGCCAAAGTGCTTGGGCCCCTGCACCCACGTGGGAGACCAGGAAGAAGCACCTGGCTCCTGGCTTTGGAATGGTGTAGCTCTGGCCATAGCAGCCATTTGGGGGGTGAACCAACAGAAGGAAGACCTTTCTCACTGTCTAACTCTGTCAAGTAAAAAAAAAAGTGTTGTTGAAAAATAATAACAGTAAGAATATACATTGGTATTGTCACACTAAAAAGAGACAAAAACCAATAATGTTAAAGATATTTTTGAAGCACCAACAAGATTTTTCTGATACAACTTGCTTCCTTGTTATTTTAACATAAGTAAAAAATAAAAAATAAGTTTACTCAAGCTGTATGCAGCCACCTCCAAAAGTTCATAGAAAACTGTATTAAAAGAGTTTATTTTGGTGCAAAAATTCAGTTTTTTCATAATGCATATTTTCCATGAACTTTTTGAGGATCCCTTATATGATAACCCAACGTTTTTGATGTTTTTCTTATAATACACCAATTTGAGAAAATCAAAGACATTCATCAAACCCACCAAATTCAACTTTATACAGTACTAGCTAATTTGGCAAACTTATAAAATTAAAGTATACTTCCCAATCCACACTAATCTATTAAACACCCATGGACTTCTGACAGCAATTAACTTTTATAGACTGCATCTCAAACTTAAGTACCTTGAGGGGCTAGCATTTAGGCATCATGGGTTAAGCCACCGCCTGCAATGCCAGCAACCCATATGGATGCCAGTTCAAATCCCAGCTGCTCCACTTCTGATCCAGCTCCTTGCTAATGGCCTGAGAAAGCAGGGGAAATGGCCCAAGTTCTAGGGCCCCCGCACTCACATGAGAACAGTCAGATGAAGCTCCTGGGCCTGGCTCAGCCTTAGCTGTTGCAGCCATTTGGGGAGTGAACCAGCAGAGAGAAGACTTCTCTCTCTTTATATATATATAGCTTTCAAATTAATAAAATAAACCTTTAAAAAAAAAGTGACTTAAATTTCAACACATTTTAAATATATCAAAGGCTACTATTCTATATTAGATGAATATTTATAAACTTAAAAGAAAATCCACAGAACCATTAAGTTGCAAGAGAGTTAAGTGGTATTCTAACACAAGTCTACATCTACCTAGGCTGTGGTTGGACACTGTCTATACCTGTCTATTCCAAAGTATATCCTTTCCCACAACATCTCTTTCCAAGTCTGGCTGATAAAACTGCTGGAAGATTCTTATTATAAGAAAAGTGACAGCCGGTGCCACGGCTCACTAGGCTAATCCTCCGCCTGCAGCGCCAGCACTCTGGGTTCTAGTCCCAGTTGGGGCGCCGGTTCTGTCCTGGTTGCTCCTCTTCCAGTCCAGCTCTCTGCTGTGGTCAGGGAGTGCAGTGGAGGATGGCCCAAGTACTTGGGCCCTGCACCGCATGGGAAACCAGGATAAGTACCTGGCTCCTGCCATTGGATCAGCGCGGTACGCCAGCCGCGGCAGCCATTGGAGGGTGAACCAACGGCAAAGGAAGACCTTTCTCTCTGTCTCTCTCTCTCTCACTGTCCACTCTGCCTGCCAAAAAAAAAAAAGAAAAAAGAAAAGTGACATTCCCCTTGGAACTTCCATTCTCTGATCATACCTCACAAGATTATAGGGGACTAAATAAAAACATTCAAAGCACTTAAAACAATGCTGGCACACAGTTAAGTGCTCAACTAGTGTTAGCAATGCCCATTATTATGAAAGCAGTTATACTTTCTTGGGCCAATCATTTAGTTTCTTTAAATATTTAAAGACTAGTTCAATTCTCCCTCCCCTTCTGTACCACATCCTAGTACACTACACTACTAGTTTTTTTTTAGGAAGACACAGTTTAAAATCTCCTAATCAAGCAGGTAACTCTCCTTCCTAGATTACTGTCCATCCTAAATCAAAGCATCCAGAAAAATGTTAAATAGTATTTTGCTTGAATATGGGGAACATCAACCCAAGAAAACATTCACTAAAAACTCTTCCCCTGCTGAGTCTTAGAAATAGGTCACTGTGGCTTCTTTCAGTGTACAACACACTACCAAGAAAATTAATACTAAGCAATTACACAACATTAAGTACTAATCACCATTTTCCTAATTATGGTATTCTGATAAGTGACTTCACTGAGCTTTTGATATTAAATATGTATAAACGCTTTCTGATAAAATTAAGAGTTCGGGTTACCTGCGCATATTATGTTTTTTTATATTTTAAGTCTGAAATTTTTTAAATTCAGGAGTTACCACTCACAGAAATTACTATTATTCTTAACACTCAATTCCCTGACCATCTCCAACGAAGCTCATTCTTTGTTTGCAAGAACACTGTCCAGATCATCCTTCGACTCCCCCAGAGCTCATTATCTTACCCATCATAGAAGCTTTCTAAAAAGTCTGAATAAACAAAGAACACAAAATAGTCCAGAAAATATCACAACTGAAAATAATTAAAGTTTAATAAAGAAGTTTTTTTTTACAAGGGTTATTTTCATAACCTGCATCAAGATCTAGCCTATGAAATTTTCATTTGCACATTTCTAAAACACAAGACATAAACGTAACTCAAGGTACTAAGATACTATTACAAGAGCCACTGCTATGGCTTAGCAGGTCCTGCAGTGCCAGCATCCCATATGGATGCCGGTTCAAGTCCCAGCCACTCTACTTCCAATCCCACTTGTGGCTAATAAGCCTGAAAAGCAGATTATCCAAATGCTTGGGACCCTGCACCCACATAGAAGACCCAGCAGAAGCTCCTGGCTCCTGGCTTCAGACACACCCATCTCCAACAGCTGAAGCAATTTGGGGAGTGAACCAGCAAATGGAAGATCAATCTCTATCTCTATCTCTCTCTTTCTCCCTCCCTTTCTCTCCGCCTTTGCCTCTCCCTCTTTATAACCTTTATAACTCTGCCTCTCAAGTAAATAAACAAATCATAAAAAAAGATAACATTACATGTTTAAAAATCACAAATTACCGCTTCAAATTTCTCTCTGTTTTCTCGAAGATAGTGAATACAGGCCATTCTAACTTCAACATGACGAGACTGAGAGTGCAACACCTAAAAAGAGAAAGCAACATATAATTAACCTGTCTCCCGCCATTTTCCTTTCCATAATTTTGAAATCTTTATGCTTTCTCAGTCCTTCCTCTAAACATAAGGATGACACAGCATATAAAACCTGTATGCAGGGCCAGCACCGTGGCTCACTTGGCTAATCCTCTGCCTGCGGCACCAGAATCCCATATGGGCCCCGGGTTCTAGTCCTGGTTGCTCCTCTTCCAGTCCAGCTCTGCTGTGGCCCGGGAAGGCAGTGGAGGATGGCCTAAGTGCTTGGGCCCCTGCACCCGCATGGGAGACCAGGAAGAAGCACCTGGCTCCTGGCTTCGGATCGGTGTAGCTCAGGCCATAGCGGCCATTTGGGGGGTGAACCAACAGAAGGAAGACCTTTCTCTTTGTCTCTCCCTCTGTAACTCTACCTGTCAAATAAATAAATAAATAAATCTTTAAAAAAAAAAAAAAAAAAAAAAAAAAAAACCTGTATGAAGGGTCTTTAAAAAGCTCATAGAAAATGTTCAGCTATGAAAAAACTATAGATGGACTACAAAATATTTTGTACCAAAATACAAACTTATAAAGATAATTTTAATTTCATTTTCCATGAATGTGTTGAGTACCCACATAATAATACTTAAGGCAGAAGTCACTCTATGAAGTCTTAACAACATTTCTCCTTTAGGTCACTAAAGCTGCTCCTTTGACAACATGTTTGTAAACTTAAGACACTCAACTCTCTCAGCCAGCCCTCTAAATAAGTCCTCTTCATAAAGTGGAGCTAAGAGAAACACTGCCACACAATGCTGAGCAGCATCCTGTGTGGCAAGAAAAAACAAATAAGTAGTTTCATCAGGAATACATTTTAAGGCTTCAAGTTTAATAAAAAGTTGTTATTTTTAATCCCAATAATTTTGAATATTCTTAGTGGTCTTATGTAGAAATCTGAAGTCCATTATGGTTTCAGAGAAATTAAGGCACTTCTAAATCCTTAGTTACTCAAACTTACAAGACTGGAACAAGTGAGCAACCAGTAGGAAAAACAGGTGCTGTCATCCTATAAGGTTTAAATTTGTTCTTACACCCAAACAGAAAGCACCAACATACAAAGTATGATCCACATCCTCACTGTGAATAGCCTCTGTATTCTTCTGATAAACAATCAGTTCAACAAAAAGATAACTTACCGGCATTCTGTCTCTTACTAAACTTCTTTAGTGCTTTGGAATGAAACAACCTATTATTTCTTATTACATACTTAGGGAGCCTTTGGCTGACCCTCAATATTTCACCATTCTTAAACACAAGATTAAAATTCTTTAGCCTAAGGGCTGGTGTTGTGGCATAGTGGGTAAAGCTGCCGCCTACAGTGCTGGCATCCCATATGGGCGCTCCACTTCCAATCCAGCTCTCTGCTAATGGAAAGCAGTAGAAAGACAGCCCAACTTCTTGGGCCCCTGCACCCACGTGGGAGACCTGGAAGAAGCTCCTGGCTCCTGGCTTCAGACTGACCCAGCTCTGGACGTTGAGGCCGTTTGGGGAGTGAACCAGCAGATGGAAGACCTATCTCTCTCTCTCTCTCTCTGCCTCTCCTTCTCTAACTCTTTCAAATAAATAAATAAATCTTTAAAAAAAAAATTCTTTAGCCTAGCATAGTTATGATACTGGTTAAGACTCCAGCACCAGGTATTGGAGTGCTGGGTTTACTACCAGCTCCAACTGCATATTCTGACCCCAGCATCAAATTAGCACAGATGCCAGAAGATGATACTTCAAGTAACTGGGTTCCTGCTACCTACGCAGGGAGACCTGGATTGCGGTCCCAGCTTCAGCTGGGCCCTCCCTGGACTGTTATCAGCATTTGGAATGTGAACCAAAGGACAGGCACTCATTCATAGTCACTCCCTGCCACCAAATAAGTTAAAAAATAAAATTCTTTTCTATTAGTAGGTATCTCAAATGAAGGTATTCCTGGTACCCTAAACGTCAAGGTTTAAGAAAACACAACGAAACATTTGAAGCAACACATCTCAAAGTACTGTCAAGGCCTACTGAGAATTTATATTATGGAAAGTAGCTTTACGTGATTTTAAGAGTTACCCAAGTGGAGGCTTTTGATCCAGTGTTTGGAATGCTGAGCATCCCATATCTGAGGACTGAGAGTCCAAACTCCACTTCTAATTCCTATTTCCTGCTAATGCACTGTCTCTCTCTTTCAAAAATAAAATGAAAATAAACTTTAAAAAAACTTTTTTAAAAAGTTACAGCTCCAGGGGCCAGCATTATAGCTCAGTAGGTTAAGCTGTGGCTTCAAACCACCCACATCTCAGAATGCCAGTTCGAGCCCTGGCTACTCCAACTTCCCACCCAACTCCCTGCTTATGTTCCCGGGAAAGCAGTGGAAGATGGCCTAAGTACCTGGGCCCCTGCCACCCATATCTAGGGAGACCAGGATGAGTTTCTGGGCTGGACCAGCCCCAATCCTTGTAGTCATTTGGGGTGTAAACCAGCAGATGGAAGTTATCTATCTATCTATGTCTCTCTTTCCCTCCCTCTCTCTCCTCCTCTCACCCTGCCTGTCAAATAAATAAATGTTATATTCCCACTTCATTCTCCCTTCTGTTCATGATGAGCTCAAGCATCACATTCTGTAGGTCTCTTGGAGTCAAGTTCATTTATACCCACGGAACCACACAGGTAGTATGTCCCACTGCACTAAAATACACTGATGATGCACTAGCTGACATTTCCAATGAGTTTGTTTTCAGTATACTAGTTGGCTTTCAGCTTAACTGGGTGTACTTTCATTGCCATCTTGGGACATTATTAAAAAGTATCCTTATATATCTTAAGTTTCCAGTGCAAAAAAGATTGTCCATATATACAAATAAACACCATAAGATAATTGTTTTTGTTGCTTTTTTCCTTGCCAATTTAGCAAATGACATTCAGCAACACTGCCTTGCACAAAAGCTATCTTAAACACTATTATGAATCAAGGTAGTATTAGCATGAGTAAAACCACAGTGTCATCTGATAGGCCTTTCCTGCTGTTAGCAAGATGAAGCTGGCATTAAAGCCATTTACCTAGCAACAGGTGGCAGACATATGTTAGTATGTTAGTATCAGAAACAATGGCAAGACATATCTACTGGTTTTTTTCCTTTTAACAGACTTAAATGGAATCAATCTGTACCTACTGCTCTGAAACAAAACTCTCACAACTCCCCTAAAGTGTGGGCTACCAGTAATTTACAAAGACAAATACCGCCAAGAAAAGCAATGTTAAATGAAAAGTTTAAAAAGCAAGTTAGTGTGCAAGTTCAAGGACACTCAGGATTCAAATGGTATGACAAACATCTACCTTAGCAAATTATTGTATGATGAAAATAAGCTAGAGATAGGAGGCTTTCAAATCTTTATTTGAGACCACACAGTGATAAACACTGGAAAAAGGCTGAGACACACTATTTTACCAAGTCCTCTAAGAGTGCCCTATTTTTAGCTCCCTGACTATGGAACTGATTCAGGTCAGGCCTCCTGCAGGCCTAAATCTACAAGTGTAAAAAGGAAAGGGCCTATCTAAACCAGATAATTTAGAGGAAGAGTGACTCCTAACTCAAGTCTCCTCCCCATCTCTGAACACTGCCATTTGGATAACCTGCTCGTGATTTCACAGGAAAAATTATTCACATAAAAACAAATCCTATGCACATACTTTAAAAGGGCAGTCAGAAGTGGGTGTTATTTCCCTTTTCCCCACATGCACACTTTGCCTTTGGCCAAGATGGCTATACACTTGGTCCTTATCTACTGAATTAGGTGAGCTTCCCCCAGTATACTAAAAATCAGTCACATAACCGGATAGAGTAGTCTGTTATATCTCCCTTAAATCACTACAAAGCAAAAATACAATAAATTGTTACCTGATGTTGATGAGTGCTTCGTTAAGAACTTTCCACTTAAAAATAGAGATCACGCTACAGTAGCAGGCCTCAGTAAAATAAAGTTCATCCAACTATAGCGTGTAATACTGAAAGCAGACACACCATTCTGCTCCAATAGAAATAAAAACTAAGACTTGGATAATTCAATCCCAAATAAGCTTCCAGTTCCGCTTCATATTTATTAATTTCGACATCCTTCCTTACCAAACTTTCACTAAAGCTAACAGTACATAAAATGAGCTGAATTTACCTCTACCTCTTCTCTCTTTCTGAAGGTGCTCGGGAGTCCAAAGTAGCTGAGCCAGAAGAAGCAAAACAGACAGAGATCCGGCAAATTCATAAATGAATGGGGCAGACTGTTTACCTACTAATAGTAAGGACTAGGGTGGGTGTGTGTGAACATATCCTACCCACACTGGAGCATCTCAAACTCCTGAAAATGAGAGAAAGTTAAGGAACTGAAAAAGGCAGAGCCTGGTTTGGGGAGCTTTAGGAATGCTTCAATGACAATCTCTGTAGCATATAATGGAAAGATTTATGTTACATCAATTTCTTGTTATAAAAGATTTACTCTACAGATGTGAAGATCTTTGGAAAACAAACTACTAGCCTTTTCCTACTAAAAAAAAAAAAGAGAGAAAGAGAGAGAAACTAACTGAACTCAACATGTTAAGTGAAACATTTACTCACAATAGAAATTGTAAAAGCTATTTACCATTCAAAAACGGTGACAGAAAAAAAAGACCAAACAACATAAAAACCCCATAGGGGGTAGGGAGGAGCACACCTTAAGGCAAAGGAGGGCAAACAGCGAAAGGCACAAAATACAAACCAAGGCAGTCAGGTGAAACTTTTTAAAGATGGACTACTCAGCAGCTATTTTTTCAATACAGGATGGATTTGGGTGACCGTAAACCTCCAATACGATGTGGCAAAACATGGAACAAGCTCTTTCTCCAAAGAAATTAAACCCCCCCCCCCCAAAATCACAAGCATCTTGCTAACCAACTGTATTGGACAAAAATTTAACGGGTAAAAATCCGTTCAGGAAGGGCCTAGAGAACACCCAGTTACACCCTTCCTCCCGCCAACACCGAAACAAGTCTTTTTTTTCCCCCTGTTAAAAGTAACTTCTTTTTAGTATACCTCCACCGCCTTGCAGAGCAAGTGTGGACTACACCCAAAGCCAATTCATTCAAAATACTCTCTTTGTCAAAGGCTGGCTTTCTCGTATGGCGAAGTCGGCTCCCTGGGCTCAAGTGACATCGGCGGCGAGCTGGACTCCCGCACATTCCAAAGTCCACTAGCAGGAAAAATACGTTCCACAAGTCCAGCCTGGGGCACCACCACCTCCCGCAAACATGCGGTTTACCGGCGTGAACGCTCTTTTTACACGGCAAGCCGAATGCGGCACCCAAGTGGAAAATACCGTGTCGCCAGCACCATCACCCCTCCCCGTCGTCCCACACTCATTACCTCGTCAGCAAGAGACGGCACCCGCATAACGCACAGGCCCCCCGATCTCCAAGGCCAGCTTGCAGACCCCAAAGCGGCGCCGCACTCGGGCGTTACAATGGGCGGTGGTGACGGCCGCGGGCCACGCGCAGCCCCCCGGACGGGGGCGTCCCGGACGCCCGGGGCCGCCGCCGCTTCCCCCACCCAGCCCCACCGGCCGCACCGGCTTCCCCGCGCCCATTACCTGCTCCGCCACGGCCCGGGAAACGGGAACAACCCGTCCCTTGGGGAACCAGTTTTGCAAACCAGCCCCAGTTTTTCCGAAAAAAGCGTCCAATGGGCCGTCCGGGTCCTCGGGGGCCCCTGAGGCGCCCCTGGCCCCCGCCGACCGGGGGGGCCGAAAGGCGCCCTTCTATTTTGCCCGGGTTCCCACTACGAGACAGACTCCGGGGGGGATACCCCCACATGGCCGCGCCGCCGGCAGCTCGACGCCCCGGCCTGGCTCCGGCTCCGGCTCCGCGAGCGGCAGCAGGCGGCGGCCCGAGGCAGCGGTCCGCGCTCCCCAGACGCATAGGGCGAGCCCTGCCTAGTGCATGGCCGGCCGCACGCGACCGCCTCCCCGGAGGGACCACGCGCCCAGAGAGGAGACGGCGTGGGGCGGCAGGGAGCGAAGAAAATCCCGAGGGACGAGAGTCGCGTCCCCGGGGGCCTCGCCGCCCAGTCAGGAACCGGGCCGGGGTCGCCGCCCGCACGAGTTTCCTGGTCCCGACCGGCGTGGAGCGAGGAAGCCCCCGCCCCCGGCGCGCTCGCGGGGCCGGCTCAGGTGAGCCGCGGCCTGCCCGCCTACCCCGCGCGCTCCCCTCGCCGGGCGCTGAGGAAACCAGAAGAAAAGAGCCGCGGCCTCGCGTCTCCCCACCTCGCCGGAGGGCGCCTGAGGGGCGGGCGGCGGGAGGGGGCGCCCGGCGGAGGGCAGCACCCTGGCAGCTCAGAATTTTGTTTTCGCTTTCGGCCCGGCCGCGGAGAGGACGGCGGGAGGTGTAGTTTTTGGCAGCGGCAGGAAGTTGGCTTGCGGCGGACGGGGACGCCCGGGCCTGCCTACCCGGGGGGAGGCGCCCGGGAGGCACGCGGACTACAAGTCCCTACAGCGCGAGCGCGGGTGCCGCCGCCGCCGCCGCCGCCGCCGGAGCCGCCTTGGCGCGTCCCAGGCGCCGCGTCCGCGAGCAGGCCGAGGCTCGCCGCCGCCCCGCCCGGCCGCCCCGTGCGCCGCGGGCCCGCGGGAAGTGCGCGCGCCTCGCGTGCGTGGAGTTGCCAGGGACACAGCGGCCGCGATGCCGGCCCTTTGTGTATTTCCAAACAGAGGGCGCACCTGTCTGCCCCGCTCCCCGAGGCCCGCTCGCCTGGCGACTCCACAGAGGCGGCCTTAACGGCTTAAGCAGGAAAATAGAACTGATCGGCGAAAGCGTGTGGAACCGACCAAGGCGGTCTACAGATCCCCCCCGCGGGCTGCTGGTTTCCTTTCAGAAATCAGAACAGGTCACACACTGGGCCAAGATGATGCCGTTGCCAACGATTTGTTTTGTTCACCCTGTCCCTAGTTGCGCATCCTCAACAGGGAGCATTGGCACTGTTAACCAAAGTTCGTGAGGGTTGTTTATTTTTTTCCCCTTTAAAAAAAAGTCACCTTTGGGGCGGCCAGCGCGCAGCCAGGGACACTGCCATCCCCACATCCCAGCGCCAGTTCCAGTTCCGGCTGCTCCACTTCCGATCCAGCTCCCACTCGTGCACCTGGGAAAGCAGAGGGTGATGGTACAAGTACTTGGGCCCCCTGCGCGCACCCACGTGGGACACCCGGGTGGAGCTCCAGGCTCCTGGTTTTGGCCTGGCCCAGCCCTGGCTGTTGTGGCCATTCGGGAAGTGAACCAGCGGTTGGAAGTTATTTTTTATGATTTTTTAATTTTTTTTTTTTTTGCTTTCTGTCCCTCCCTCTCTGTCATTGTGCCTATCAAATAAAGAGCTGTTTTTTAAAGTCACCCTGTGAAAAAAAAATTTAAAAATCACCTTGCACTTGCTTGTTAAGACACTTCCTGTTCAGGCAGTGCAGAAAAATAATATCTTAACTTCCTACTGTTAGTAAAATGGCGCGATCTACCCCCTTCCCTCCAGTCTGTCGGGATTCCTCCAATAAACTCTTTCGCTTACTCCAGTGTTTGCTGTGTTTCTATGGTGGCCTTACACCTACCCTCCGAAGTTGAATGGTAGGGAATTGGCAAAATCGAGTCCTGCTCCAGATCCCAGAATTTACCCAGCACGCTTCTGGGAAACCAGAATTTTATTTTACTAGAACACAACAGCATCTGCTGCCCTATTTAAAGTCATGGTTAATCATAAAACCTACTCCAGTGTTGAGGGACTGCTGGGGGGAGAGAGAAGAAAGGTGATTGCTGTAGGTTTCGACATGTAACCAAATAAACTCTAAAATTGGGGTTAGGCAGGCCAGATGGCAAGAGTCCAACAAAAATCACAGAAACACTTTTCTCAGTATTTTCCATGGAAGCAATTAGTCTTTTTTATTTATTTTTTTTTTTTTTACAGGCAGAGTGAACAGTGAGAGAGAGAGAGACAGATAGAGAGGAAGGTCTTCCTTCCTTTGGTTCACCCCCCAAATGGCTGCTACAGCCTGCACGCTGCGCAGCTCCGAAGCCAGGAGCCAGGTGCTTTTCCTGGTCTCCCATGGGGTGCAGGGCCCAAGCACCTGGGCCATCCTCCACTGCACTCCCAGGCCACAGCAGAGAGCTGGACTGGAAGAGGGGCAACCGGGACAGAATCCAGCACCCCAATCAGGACTAGAACCTGGAGTGCTGGTGCCACGGCGACAGCCATCAATTAGTCATCTATTAGCTATCTTTCAAGCATCTAAATTTGATGCCTTAATGGGTAAAGACTTTTTCCAATTGTACTGTTTTTAAATAATATAAAATTTATTGTTACCTAGAGGGAAAAATTTCCTTATCCTAATATTTGTTAAATGTTTAGAAACATCGTATTGCAGTCATTTTCAGAAGAGCGTAGTTTCAGGTCAAACCTATTGCTTTTCTTTTTTAAAATATCTTCATTGTAGAAGCTAAAAAAAAAAAAACACTAATGTTACTGTTTATAAAATGGTGCCATCTTCCTAAGCCCAGCCTGGCTTACTAGAAGTCAGGTGACCCAGTAGTCCAATCACAAGTGTCAGCTCCACCCCACCCCTAATGGGATTCGCGCTCCCACTTCCTTACCTCTGCAAAGCTATATAAGCCCTGTTCTCCCAATACAGGCTGCTGTTCTTTCTGTGCACAGGGAGGCAGCCTGTCGGGTTCCCCGACTCGACAATAAACTTTTTCCCTTACTCAGATGTCTAATGTGTTTTGTGGCCTTTCCTTTCAGTTACCACTATTTACAACGTAGCTCTTTTTTGTCTTAACAAAGCTTGCTTTTTGTGCCATAGAGAAAGTCAAAGTAAAGTAACATCTAAGCTGTAGAGATTAAATATTGAATGTCTGAAATGAGCAGATTTTTTAAACTTTATAAGCAACACACTTTCTGATATGCCTTAAAAAAACTATACCTTTCCTAACTATTTTAATATCTTGAAATAAGAGTTTTTGATGCTAATCTCATATTCATTAGGAGCTTATGGAAGATCTACCAAATATATAAGGCTAACATCACATTGCTGAATTATCTTGGGGTTATAACAAAAACGTCTGTTTCCAGGGACTTCACATTTCCAAATTTATCAACACCATTCTGAATGGAAAATTTCATGATTACATTGCTTTACTTTTTAAAAAAATCATTCGTATAAAATGACTACATTTGAATGCACAAAAATTTGATTCCCAGGTAGACAGTATTTTAAAGCATATTTTCTATGTTTAAACATCTCCATATTTTACTTATTTAAATGTGCTTTAAATTGTTTAATAAAGTCACCATCTTCTCAAGCCCCTAAATTCTGATGAAGTATTTTGAAAGGAAAGGAAACCAACTACATCTTTAATTCTACAATATCTTTATTTTCCATAGCAAAAATTTGTTCACTGACAATAGTATAATCAAAATAAGAATAGAGATAATCCTCTAACTACTATAGAGCCTGGCTTTAGTGCCCACTTTCAGAATGTTTTTAAGTGAATTATTAAATGCTAAGAAAATTGGGGCCTATATCAGAGTTCCTCAAAACTCTGTTATCTAAAAATGTGATTTGTTATCAGAAGTAACAAAAGACTAGCACATGTCCAGTCTTTTCTACACTTAATATTGTAGGGAAATTACTCATTGTCTTTGCTCCTGCTAAATGAGTGCAACACAGCCTCACTTTAAAACTGGCTGCTTCTGTTTCCAAAATTAGAAATGATGCACCTGTTGTATCTGACCCTGGGCCTGTTTAAGGAAATCCTTTAGGTATTTTGAGACCTAATCCAAGACAGACCCCTCTGAATGCCAACTTCCCAAATATAGCTCAGTGTTCAGGCAATGTTAAAGGATCCTATGTCTTTAAACTGGCCCAAAACTTAAAGTTCCCTTACTTTTTTCACTTGTTAACAGTAACTTCTGAAATTTTTCAAGAAACCCAAACCAGAGCCAACTGACAATGTTCATTCTGAGGAAGCCATTTCTGACTAACAAAAATGAAGATCTCTTCAAAATACCATCTGAATCAACTCAAACCTGAAAGATTCAGTGCCCTCTGAGAATCTAATGAAATCTGTAAAATAAACTTTATATGATTGTGTCATCCAAATTTTTTCTTGTACATGATCAATACCTCACACAGTGAGTCTGTTACTCCGAGAAACTTTAGGGCTAATAAATCTTCTATTCAGAATTTTTAAATTGATTTTGAAAATGGTAGATTTTTATGATGTCTGTTTTTTTAACCAACATAACTCTTGTGCGTTGTGTTAGACAGTCCCTGAGATGGCACCCAGAATGGCTCCCACCTTGTACCAAAGTTGGTCTGAGTGAACAGTGGAATAGAGCAAAAGTAAGGTACGTCATCTCTGGGATGAGGTTATAACATACACTTCTGGCATTTGGATTGCTATTATAAACTCCCTCTTTCCTGGGTCACTTGGGGTGGAAGTTGGCTGCTGTCCGTCAGCCTAACAGAGAGGGTTCCCTGTGAGGAACCGGGGCTTCCTTCCAACAGCTGCGTGAGGCAGCTATGAAGCAGATGTTCTGAGTCAAGCCTCAGAACAACAGCCATCCTGCCCAAAATCTTCACAGCAGCCTTGGGAGAAGCCCTGAGCCGCACCCAGCCAGCTGAACTCTAGAATGCTTGACTTAGAAGCTGCATGAGATGATGTTTGTTTTTACCTCTTAAGTTGGAATAATTCACTGCACAGAAATAGATCAGTAAAGCAGATATGGTACTTCTTTGTTTGTCTTTACTACATAGACAAAGAATGAATGCATTTTAATAATTGCATTACTATTATTAAATTATTAATAATTTTATTATTATTAAAATATTATTATTTAAAATAATTGTCAATTTAATCTCATTAGTAATTGTACCAGCTCTCTGAATCCTACAGAAAAAAAGTTATTTTACCAGAAAGTCAAACTAGCCAGAAAGAGAATCGTTTATTGTCCTCTGATTTTTTTAATTTACAGAATATTTTCTAAAATACAGTAAACTTAGAATGTCTGGGCTTCATTGCCACATAGGATTTTATTTTGTTTTCTCTAAAACTTCCAGTAATTGCATCCTAGCAAAAAAATTGCTTTAAGAAATGCCTGTTTCTTCCCAATACTATGGCTAGAGGCTATTGAATGCCATCTTCTTCCTTTTTGCGTTTACTTTTTTTCATCCATTTGAAAGGCAGAACGAGATAGAGAGGAGGGAGGTACAGAGAAGGGGAAGGGAGAATCAGAGATCTTTCAACTGCTGATTCACTCCCCGAATGCTTGCAACAATCAGGGCAGGGCCAGGCCAAAGCCAAGAGCCAGGAACTCCATCCAGGCCTCACACCTGACTGGCGGGGATCCAAGCACTTAAGTCATCTTCTGCTTCCTGGGATGCATCAGCAGGAAACTGAATTGGAAATGGAGCAGGCAAGACTCAAACCAGCCCATAAGAAATGCAGGTGCTCCATGTGGGAGCTTAACCTGCTGTCCCACAATGCCCACCCCTGATGGTCATCTTCTACTTTCCATTTTATTTTCACTTTACCACAGCCATCAGTTTTGAACTATATTTCCCACTTACCTGGAAACTGAATATAATTACTTGATTATGTTTACATGAATGGGATGGGAGCAGAATTGATGAGTTTAATTTTCATGTCCTTAAAAATGAATCTCATACGCTACACTCTCTTGCCTACTTGCTCTGAGCTGCTATGAAAATGATTGAAACTAGTAGGCCAGCTTTCATTTTTCAAACACCCTCAGACAACAGAGAAATGAGATGAAGGAACAGAGACCCTAAATGCCTGAAGCCTTCTGACTGTGATGGAGGAATAAACTCCTTTAATAATTTTTGTTATTATTATTGTAGTTATTTAGTCTATGTACTCTAGCACATTTCATTCGATATTAAATAACTAATATCTGGGACCAAATAAATTTTGTTCATGAGTTCCTTCTTGAGTTGCATTGACTATAACATTTTTCTAAAAAGTTGAAGAATTGCCAAAAACTTTATTGCAAAATCTGAAACATCGAAGAGCTTCAAAATATGAAGTTTCTAAAAAGAAGGGTGTTATTTCTACTCATGACTTTGCCTATTCACCAATCTATATTCATTCCCCCATCAGATTCTACCATTAGCAGCGTTGACTATCTTCTATTTTGACTCCCCTTTCACCCTTGAGTATAACGATCTCAATATCCTATTATATCCTCTTAGCTAATTTATCTTCCCCCAAACCCCATCTCCTAAATGTAAGAGTTCCCCCAGGCTCAACCTTTAACCTTATTTAGCCCTGTTCTCTTTTGCAGGCTTTAATCTCTTATCTCTAGTTCACTGGGCATCTCCAACTAAACACATTTTTGAAAGTAAATTCACCATCTTCTTAAAACCATTCCCTTCAAGAACTCTAATACCAAACATTGAATTGCATAGTAGGTACTCAAAAACACACAATAAACACTTATTGAACAACTTGATGATAGATCATTTATTAAAATAAGTGTCATTTTTGCTTTGTCATCATCCGTTCCCTGTGGAATAGATGAGAAAAAATAAGGAAGTATTATAGTCAAATAGTGATAAAAAAAAAAAAAAACACAATGTGGGGCTGGTGCTGTGGTGTAGGGAGTAAAGCCGCCACCTGCAATATTCCATATTGGCACCGGTTCCAGTCTGTTGCTCTACTTCAGATCCAGCTCTCTCCCTCTCCCTCTCCCTCTCCCTCTCCCTCTCCCTCTCCCTCTCCCTCTCCCTCTCCCTCTCCCTCTCCCTCTCCCTCTCCCTCTCCCTCTCCCTCTCCCTCTCCCTCTCCCTTTCAAATAAATAAATAAATAAATAAATCTTTAAGAAAAACATGCAACTTGCTGAGAATGTGAGAATGAGATCATTTAAAC